TTTCCCCCAAATCGTCAACGCTCTCGAAATCTCTAACCTCCCAGTTTTCGGTAGTGTACGTTCGTCAGTATTATTAGACTTTTTCAGGTTCTTGCATATTTATTTGATCGTAAGTAAGGTTTAAAATTGAAATGTTGTCACTTGCTAATTGAAATTTGTTTACATATTTATTGATTGTGAGTAATGCTTAAATTTGAAATTCGGGCTATCAGGTGATCAAAAGACATTTGTTTACATATGAGAGAATATGTATAATTCCGTGTTAAATTGCAGAATATGAAGGTGGATGGATATATATAGTGGAATGGGGGAGAAAAAAATATTTGCAACTTGTCTTTTGGAAGCCTTAGATAGATCCGTCTTAATTCTTTTTTTTTTCCAGTTTGCTAATTAAATTTTTTTTTGTGTATGAAGGACAAAATTGATCATGAGTTCTGTGATTTCTTGAGTATGTGAATGTTTCTTCATTTTCCTAGTTCTGTGAGTTCTATGACAAAATTTGATGTTTCTTGAATTCTGTGACAAAATTAATTCGTTTATTATTTTTGCTAGTTGAAAAGGGACATTATTATTTTTTTTGGACCTTATATTTATTTTAGTGGACTTGTATTTTATCTTTATCGTAAAGTATTATCCTAAAACGTTAAAAGGGCGAAAAGAAAACTATGCTTTAGTTTATTGTGATTTTACTTTTATTTTATTGGTATTTAAATTTATAGTAGATATATTTAGTTTGTTTTAGATTTATTACTAGTAAGACGTAAATATATATTGAATTAATGACATAAAAATAGACACTAGACAGGAAAAAAATATACGTGAAACCGGCGGTTTAAAACGGGATCAAACGTTAGGTTTAGGTTTGAGTTTTTTCTAAACCGGTTAAAACGGTTTGGTTTAGATTTGAATTTTTTTCAAACCGGTCAAAACGGTTTGGTTTGAAAATTTGTCAAAAATCGCAAAAATCGAACCGCTTACACCCCTAGTTGGTAAGGGATTTGGGAATGGAAATTAGGGTCCACAGTAGGTGAGGTGGGTCCTCATATTTTTCTTCTATAGTTTAGTTTGTGTTAGATTGGATTGGGTTGGATTGTGTTGTGTTGATGTCCCAAAATTTTGAGTCTAATTTTTCACTTTTAATGGATCTACCTTTTTTTTTTTTTGGAGGAAATTAGATTATATCCCCTAAATATAAGGCCCCTTAGAAAAATCATTACATTAATTTTAGCTGAAACAAATTAAACCTTAATTATTTTCCACTTTCATCTCTTTCTTTTCAGTCTCTATATTCATCTCTCGTACAGATCGGCTTTGATTTATGGAAAATGACTATAAATTCAAATTCATTTGAAATTACTGCGTTTGTTAGATGAGGATGGAAGGTCTTTTAGCAAATGAGACTTTGAGCTTGTTTGGGAGAGAATTTTGGGGGAAGAATTGATTTTGAATAGTGATATAATGGGAAATGTGTGGTTGAAAAAGAAGAAAAAGTTTTTGATGTAATAGAAAATATTATTTTATTGAAGAATGTGTGGTTGAAAGTGAAAATTGATTTACTGTAGAAACATTTAATCTCTCCCAAACAGGGCCTTTGAGTTTCTTTGTAATTCCGGGGGAATTTTTCATTTGCCACTTGCGGTCCCTCTATCATTTGATGAGCGTCCTATAAAATTTACATTTCTAAGCAGATTTTTCAAGTTCCTCCTACATTTATCATGGTGACATTAAGAAAGCAGCTGGAGAATATCTCAAAGTTAGTATTTTATGTTCATTCATTCTATATGTAGTAACTTTACTATTTATTTACTAGTGGGTGAAAAATCCAATGGCTACTGTGTTGAACAAGGCAAGGCACCTTGAAATATCCCCTTCAGCGAAGCAAAAGGTAACATGCGAAAGTAAGAAGAAGCAAAAGATTCGCTTGAAGGTCGCAAACATATTCCCATATCCAAGCTGGTTATAAGCTGCACATGAAAAGTGACCAAAACGTAATTTTTAACGGAAATTAGTTATTAGACTACCACTAAGGTACATGCACCTGGCACAATGAAAGAATTATCAAACTACCCCAACACTTGGAGGGAAATCTATAAATACCCCCTCTTCATTTGTAGAAGACATAAAATTCAAGCATCTCCCTCTAAAATAACTATTTCCCCTCTCGCTCTAGTCTAAGCATCTTGGTTAGTAAACTTAGAAGGTGAAACTCATAGTTAAGTGAGAAAATTTGTTGATTTTAATCACATTGATCTTTGATTGTAATCATTTATCAATAAAATCAGTCGATCTAATTTTTATCGTCAACAAATTGATATCATCTATGAGAAATGTAAACAAAGTAAACCACGGAATTCTACGCACCAATTTAAAAACATGTAGAGTGAGGAAAAATGAAACGAGCAGGAAGATATCACCCAACATTTGCAATACCAAATAGTAGAAACTAAGCAAATAACAATGTTTAGGCTGATGTATGAGAAAATTCAGCTATAGAAACTTAAAGGCCTTAACGATAGAACGTGCTACTCTATACGCAAAAATATAAAAACTGGAAGATAGGATTGTAATGAAAGTTAAGATCGCGGGTAACACCAAGTCCCTAACCTTTTCAATTGCATCTATCGAGCATAGGATTGAAATGTCAAGAGCTGAGGAAGAAGTGGTCGTTATCCGCGCAACAATAGCTGGTGAAGATCTTCATCTCATACTTCTAGACAAAGAAAGTACTAGAAATGTAATATATGAAGAAATATTTGATTGGATATGAAAGAATAACCCCCGACTTCCTGCGTTAGTTCCTCAACACTTTACCAGAGGAGGCCATGTCCTTTGGGAGCAGGCTACTCTGTTAGTAAAGATAAGAAAGGAACCCTGGACTCATCATGAATATATGAATTTTGACTACGTCAAAGGTATATCTGCATACGACGAAATCCTTGGGCAACCAACTTGCTCTGAAGAAGATGAATATAATCATTTCTCTCTGACATTCACATGCTAGATATTCTACTAATAAAAGCAAAATGTTATTGAAGTACAATTAAGGGATCCTACACAGAAATTATAAGAGCAACCAAAAAGGAAGCTCGAAATCTCCTAGAAACATTGTTGTTATAATTGAAACAAGAAACCTCGGGACAAATTAGAAATTGATAACTCTGTCGACCACGCATAATTGAGTGTACATCAGAAGTGGCAACGGTCAAAAAGCTAAAAAGCTTTTTTGA